TGGATGGCAGCACAGCCCTCTGGCGTGTCATATCTCGGGATATGACTGAGGACTGGGACTGGGTCATATCTCGTGTGCTGATTGGCTCCTAGCAGGCTAATGATGCTGTTAATTAAGGGCAACAGGGGGAAGGAAGGCCAATGCTCACTGCAGATGTAGACTCCTCTGATTTGGTTGGTACAACCTCTGTCAATTCAGCCTTGTCTCCAGCTTTGTTGATACAACCTCAGGCTATAAGACCTTCACCTCATCCCAGCAGCCACAGTAATTAGGCCAGGTCATCAATTTTCCAAATTGCCAGGTTGGAAAACTTCCAACATTTCTGCTGTGTCTTGGCCAGATCAGCAAAATTGCTCATCCTTCAGCCCCTGCTCATTACAAACGAGAAGTGCACTGATTAGCTTGTACTCCTGTCCAAGGCTGGTACAAGATAATCACACTAATTGGCCTGCATTCCCATTACATGGAGAGCTGGGCACTTTTCCCACCTCCTGATATATGATGTATAGCACTTCCCGCCCTGCGTCTTTTCTTTCCCTGCTGTGTTTCAGGGCATTTTCTTCCAAAGCAGAATGCAGAAAAAGCTAGACACATTTTGCTCTATGCACATGTGTCATGGTTTATACAGTTGCTCTATCACCGAACAGAGGAAAAGAAAAGGAGATTTGAGGGTTGAAATAGAAAGATACTTAATAAAATAAGAATAATAATAAAAACTATTACTATTATAATGTAAAATACACAGAGTTATACTCAGCCAATACTGTGGGGGAGTAGGCCTCACAGGTAGGATGATAAACAAGTCCCTCTTGAGCTGTTACCCACCACAGAGGGAAAAAGAAGGAGGAACAGGAAGGAGAAGACTGTCCCCACCAAAATCCCCAATTTATAGTGAATGTGATGTTTATGGTATGGAATAATTATTAATTGGTCAGCCCGTGTAACCTGCTCTGGCTTTTGTTCCTCGTATTTCTGCACCTGTTTTTTATCTCAAGACTGCTGAAGACCTCGATCACTACAGCAACCTGCATACCAGGATCAGCCACAAACTAAAAATGTCTTATCAAATTTGTTCCCATGGAATAGTGTGTTGTAGTCGCAACAAAAAACTGACTCTCAAATTCAGCCCCAGTAAACCAGGACGACATGATCATTCCTTTAGCTGGGATTTTCACTGAGATTCTGAATTCTTGTGAGCTAAGAATGATGCATTCAGAGAAAAATAAATTGATCCATGTAAAGAATTGGCACTATTTCTTTTAAAGCACTTCTCGGCCGTTACCACTTAGCCAATATTACTCCTGTTAATGCAGAATCCTAGGGCTCCCCTTTACTAATCCCAGAGACAGTCCACCTTTCTTCTGTTGTCCAACCAGTACACTACATCCTAGCCAGAAATATGATTTTTGGAGCTTAAGTATGAATTCCAAAAAGAACACATTTCGTCTCACTGCAAAGACTGAGAGCCAAAATAATGCCAGATATGACAGTGCTTTCTGTAACGTGAACAACTCCTGTTGACTTAGGCTGGGTGAAAACAAACTTGGGATTGGAAAAGAAGCATAATTTCAACTTAGAAAATATCCTAACTCATCTCAATATTTAACACAAAAACAATGAAACCCCTCATACCTAACAATTTTCTGATACTTATTTTGTACATTTTAGATTCTTCAGCAACAGCTGGAATCCTTTCAGACATTTTGGCAACAGACTCTGGAGAGTATTAACACGGTAAAAGGAGAACACAAGTTCTCTTATAATGCAAGAGACTCCTGATGCATTTTTAGATACTGCCATAGGTGTTTCCAGTCAGTCCTTAGACTATTGTGTACATTAAGTATAAATTTAACCCTCTGTCCATCTTAAAAGAAACGATAAGCTCACTTCTATGTTCTTGGTCTTTCTTAGTCACTGTATTATTTGGGGGCTTATAGAAACTATTTTAAAACCTCAGAAGAACAGAGGAAAACCAAAACTGATTTGGGGGAAAAAGAAGGGAATGACGAGATCCTTCTCCCATTTTTACCACTGTAAACTCGAAGAAGGTCTGTTGCTTTCAAGTAAGTTAACTCCAGACTATTTCACTCTCAGCAGAACCTGTATTTTTGTTTGTATTGCTGCAAACCGCTTTGTTTCACAAAATGATAAGCCACCTTTTCAGGAGCATTTTTCTGCCATCATTTCATCTGGTTCTTTATAGAAAAGCTAAATATCTGCTGCTGCAAGGACATTTAGCTTTACACCTTGTTGGTTCTAAATGATTCCATATTCCTACATGCCATTTCCATCTGGTCTGTCCTTCCTAAGAGAGAACTTCTGGAGTACTAGGATATTTTTGGAAAATTATGTATTTCTACATGAAAGTTTTCTGTAAACCACCTCCATCTTTTCCAGGTTCAGTCTAAAATTCGTGAGATATTAATTGAAAATATATTTGAAAGGAAAACTCCACCATGTCATTCTGACAAGATTCTGATGAAATGTAGAAAAGAAAATGCAGAAATTGTGACCTCTAGCTGAAAGAGCAACTGGTTTATTTAAGTTGTAATACAACATTTTATCTTGTAAAACATTTACAATTCTGATGTCCAGTCATTTCCATGTTTTTGTTATGTTCTGAAAAGAACTGCCTGTTTTTTTGATAATTGGCTGAATTTCACAGATTCACAAAAGCAGATCCTTACACAATGTCAGCAGTATAAAGAAACTCAATAAAACCATGACAGTTTACAGGAGACAGAATACTGTCCCTACGATCTGAGTCAGAAGAGAATCTTGATGGCCTTTTAGCTGAACAGCTTAGTACATGCCACAACATTTTGCTGGTTGTTTCTGCAAGAAGTACTAAATTGAGTTTAATCTACGTTTATGCATGTTTTAGATGACATATAAAACATGTCTATGTTTAAACAACACAAGGTAACCTTTATCTCCTTATAGTAGATACTGACTTTGAAAGCTTATGAGCCAAAACATGAATTTCAACATTTTCAGTGCAACCAAATTCAGAGAACATGGACTGAGAACAACAAATTCAGAGAACTATGGAAGGTGCAAAAATTATCCTCTTGGATATCACACATTTTCCAGTGGGGACTTACCAGGAGAAGTTATGACTCCCACGATGGCCACACGATGCCAGTCCACACACACTCACATCTTAAAATAGCTGGATTGATTTTTTTTTTTAATTTAGCTTTATACATTTTAATCAGCTTTCAGTATTTCCATCTTGTTAGTGAATGAAAAGATTATTGAAATAGAGAAGAAACTAGAAGAGGGAGAATTACAAAAGGAGACAGAAGGACACAAATTAAAACTTCAGAGCAGCCTTCATCAGCTGTACTACATCAGAACAGCAGTTAGGAGGAAGCACAGCACTGTTCAATCTACCTAGGAATGCTGTGTCTGCAGGCTTCACAAGTGACCAATATGGCAATGCTTCTGATGCTCTGTACAAAGATGACACTAAGGTACCTAAGGTCAGTCCCGTACCATTACTTAATACAAGGTATAAACAAGGCAGAAATAATTCTATTCTAGGTCTTTGGATAGAGAAATCAACAAAATTCTTGTATAAACTAATATTTTAAAATATTCTTGGGTCCTGTTGATCTCAGGGTAAGGGGTTTTATGCTTTGACACATGCTGGAAGACCTGACCAACAATTATTGGTTTTATTTTTATTTTCCTTGATGTCAGGAACTGTAAGATCCAGTCCAGAAGTTCTTTAAGAAATATTATCCTGCGATATTTTTATAATAAGTTAGCTTTGGTTTACATGGTCAAATATCTTGGACCACATATAAAACCTGAAAAAAATTACTAAGATTGAGGTAAGATACACCTTAGATGCTGGTAAAATAAAGATGACTCCCTGCATAACAGCCTGCTTGTGGTCTGGTTTTGAACAATGCTTGATACTGGTCATTTTGTGAAGGTCACCAAAACTAAAAATTATGTATTAAGACAGTTCTTAAACAAAATTGTAGTTGAAATAAAGTACAAGTTGGAATTCTACTAAAGGGAAACAATGGCCTTAGTTTCAGTCTAGGCCACACGTGACTAACTTGGTTAATACATACATTGATATTCCACTGCAATATGTAGTCAATTTGCAACCCAAATCACTCATCTGGAAGTATGTTCTGTAAAAGTACATTTTAAAAGTTCAGTTAAGCAATAAGATGAAAAATTATATAAAAATACAACCTTGAACTTAAAGAATAAATTACCTTAAATTATTTATCACAGCTTTATATTTAGAAACAAGAAATTGCATACTCAATAATTAAACAGATTGGATTGCCCTATAAATTTGAATTCCACTCTTCACATTTTTATTTGCTTTGTTAACAGTTCACAGAGTCTAAAAAGTGTACCCTCCATTTCACCTTTTGTACCTAATAATATGTCAGCTGTGCAGTCCTGTAGTTCTTTACATTTATTGATCTGAAACATAAATGAAGAGAAATTTATTAGATTTCTGTAGAATATCACTGTACAAATTACAAGAGGTTTTTGTAAAAACTAAAAGCTGTGGTACACCCAGTTCTGTTAGATTTAATGACTTGCCTCCTCGTGAAGTCAAAGTGATTTCAATAGAGTTCTCTGTGAGAGCAAGAATCTACACTAGCAAATCCAGTTACAGGATTATGGAGCAAATATCAGAAGATAAACTTTCCATTGGAAAGTACATAAAGAACTGTAAGTCAGAGGGGAAGCAGATTATTTGAAAAATATCCTACCACATTTCTTAAGATCTGTAAGCTATAAGTGGCATACTTATAATAAATTCAGTTCACAGTCTGCATTCTATTAAACCTAGGAATGATGAGCAAAAAATAAATACGTTCTTTAAAATTCTTAAGAGGCAAACAGCAGCAGAGAATTTGAAATACTAGTTTGAATTTTTCTCTGTAGAGCTTCTTTTGGATATCTGAAATTTCTCTTCACAAATACTTCCAATGAGTCCATCATAACTGTATCTGTGAGCACACAGTGATACTTCACAATCAGTCTCACCCTTTCAATTTTGAAACCTACTTCACATATATTTAGGATTTCTTCCCAATAAAAACATTTCACTTGGGAACACGAATTTTTATAAAACAGTAATACAAACAATTACATTGATAATAATGTTACTTAGACCAAGACACCGTTCTTTTTCCCTTTTACTAGTTTAAAAACACCAGTACATACACAGAAGGATGTACTTTCTTACACCAGCGTTGGTAGTTACCACACCTTTTGGTGTACCAAAAAGTTACTCTCAGTTTGTTCTTACTTCCCATTAGTAAAAAAAAGCAAGGTGGAGTATTACGTAGCTCCTGGTTCTGCCTTGTCAGTGTAAATAAAAAATTAAAACTATGACTGCAACTTAAAAAGTGATTACACAAATGCCAATATGTGGTGAAACAGAGTAAATAGAACAGCAGCGAGGGAATAAAGGAAGTGTATTTCTTAAACTTCATGTATGATACATAAAAGACAAACCACAAATGTGAAGCAGAATCCTCTGAGACAGTTTTTCAATTTTTAAGCAAATATTTCTAAAATATGTCACACTCCTCATGGAGTATGCAAAATAATATGCTTAACTGTTCTACATGCAATCTTAGAAGTCTGCATTTGAAAGTGATTTCTCTAAATAACTCTAAAGAACACAGTCTTGACTTTCTGCTTGAATTACATCAGAGCAAAAAATCAGTAACTTGTAAGATAAAAAAGTAAAGAATGATCTGCTTGTCTACCTATACTCATACACTGTGTATTATAAATCTAACATTGCACAGTGACAAGTTTTAGCTAGGAATCCAATTTGAATGCTATTGTTTCAAAAGCTTCACAGGCTGACATTACCTAATATTTTGTTTGCCAGCAGAGGGAGCCAACTGTATTCCATAAACATGGGAAAACAAAACCAGATTTTGTTTTTCACATTAACATTCCCAGTCTTTTTACATTCATCAAGTCAGAAAAGAATAACAAATAATAATTTTTCAGTGAAATTTCTATAGCATGATTTTGAAGGTCTTCAAGATATGTATAGCCTCATAAAGCAACCTGAATCTACAGAAGAGAATAGGAGTAAATTTTGAAAGCCAAGTTCCTTATACATTTTTTATCCTTTCATTAATAATTTGTTCCTTCATATATTCGATTATTTTAGACAGTAATAAACAGCTGTGCTCCTTAATGACTTTTGGTAGACAGCATACATGAAACATGAACTCAAATTAAAGCAGCTTACCTTGTGACATTCAAAGCTATTATGCTTTTAACAGGTCTGGTTTTCGGTCCAGAATGAAGATGAAAAATCTGTCGTTCTTTATTAGTTGTGACTTCGGTAAATTTTTTAATTGCATAAGGGTCAGCAGAATGGCTTGGGTGAGGATCAAATGTGCCTGCTTTCATGCCCCCTGGCTGGAGGGGAAAAAAAAAAAAAGCTTTTCAAAGTGCTAATCTACAATATAAGTGACTTAATTAAAATGGTTTTCACACAAAAGTAAGAATACTGAATAGCAGACTGCTCAATATTATATATAGTTTTTTAAAAAAATCCTTAAATTTGCAAGGGAAACTTTAAGGAAAATTTTAGCCATTATTTCGATGAATTCTTGGTTGTAAATGTTCACTCACATGTCTGGATTTTGATAAAAGGATCTTAAAAATGTGACAGAATAAGTAAAACCGTAACTCACTAAAATGAGCTATGTCGTGGCAAAAAAGTGGGAATTCCTACATCACTGTTAGTTTACTGGTACACCTCCATCTAGTTCTGGTGTAGGGATTGTTACGTACAGCAGGGCTTGGGCATTACTATCAATAGGATTACTGACATATAGGATTGAATACAGCATTGGCTTTTCCTGAAACAGTATGTCCACTAGTACTACAAGAGTGGCAAATTTTAGTTAAAAAACATGCAGAGACTCGATTAATTCTTTCCAATCCCCTAGTACAGCTAAACTCTACTGTCTGCTGAGGCTGCAGTCCTGAAAAGTGCAGCAGTAAGCAATTCAATCAACAACAAAGCAATTTTTCCCATAAGAACTTACACAGTAGGGAGGGAAAGTGTGCAGTAGGAAATACACATAATTTTGATGTAAGAGGAAAGCATATATTGTGTGAAGGATAGGGAAGCTGGAGCAGGATCACCAGCATTGTCAGCCAGATGAGGTGCTGCTTTTGTAGCAGCTAGCTTCTCTGAACAGATTTCCATTCTGAACAATCTCCAGTGGTCTCACAAGTGAGGCCAAACACCCAACACAATTATTCGTGTATAAGCATTTTTGCTGTGTCTTTCTGAATAGTTATGTATTCCTTGCTACTATCATCTTCCTCAGATGAATCAATGTCAGTCAAATAAGTCAAGGGTGAAGGACAGAATAATAGGACAACAGCAGTTAGCAGAGCACATCTTTAAATGATTGACAATGGAACTCCAAAACAAAGAACTGAAAAGCGACAGATTCAGGGGTGTTACTGTATCAGGTGCCAAGTTCACCACTAAACCATGTCCCTAAGCACCATGCCTACATGTCTTTTAGATACCTCCAGGGATGGAGGCTCAACCACTTCCCTGGGAAGCCTGTTCCAATGCCTGATAACCCTTTCGGTGAAGAAATTTTTTCCAATATCTAATTTGAACCCTGGCGCAAATTGAAGGCATTTCCTCTTGTCCTACTGAACAACTCCAGTTCCCTCAGCCGCTCCTCATAAGACCTGTTCTCTAGACATGTACTTATTCTCATCCTTTTCTCCTAACTACTAAAGAGTTGGCAAATTCCAAAGCGGATTCCAAATTTGTGTCTGCTGATGGACAAGCAACAGATAACTCCCAAGTTTATTCGGCAGCCTTTTCCTGAGCAGAAGGACTAACCTGAGCTTTTCTGCTCCTTTCAGCTATTCATTCCCATGACACTTCTAGGAATTATCTTTTAGATATTTGTCTATAGGCTGAGGGTAATTAGCAGGTTCAAAACTTACATGAGTAAATGACAGAGTCCAAAACAGAAGCGCATTTCATTTTGCTACAGTAAAACCTTACTGTCATTTATTGTATAACCTTCTGCAGTCAATTAGCTACGTGTTAACACCTCTATGCAGATTTTAAAGAGAAACTTTTTTTGGTCACTTGAAACTGGTTAGCAGTTGCTGTTGGGTCAAACAAAATTGTATTGCTTTGTAAATCAAAAAAGTAAATGGAATAATATATTTTGTAAGAAAAATAAGAAATTAATAGCAAAACCAAACATTTATTTCTATCTTATATACTGCAAGCAAAGCTTTTAACAGAAAACATCCGACTATTTATATTTTGTCTCCAGTAACTATAAGATAAACTAACCTTTTTAGCAGAACTTGGTATGAAAGCTGTTGCAATTGGCTTCACTGGAGGCAATTTCTTCACAGGTGGCAAAGGTTTGTCACTAAAAAAGGGATTCATGTCAAAATATTCCTGGGGATATAGATTTAACTTGAAAGGTCCTCCTTTAAGCAACTGTTTATGTTCCTCTTGCGCTTTCTGTAAAACAAATACTTCAAAAGAAACAATCTTGAGGATTTTTACTGCATGTTATTCTAAGAAAAAATAGAAAGCATTTAAATTTAGTCTTGGAGAACGTTCACTCTAACTTTTATTACTGTATTTTGATGATCGAGGTATTTTATACATCCACCATGTACAACATTGTATTGGGTTTCCATGGCAAGGTTTTGGTAGCAGGGGGGCTACAGAGTGGCTTTTTTGGGAA